GGGTTGTTCTCCTTCACGAACACCGTGTACTCGGCCTGCGCGAACACCGGCGCGTTGTCGTTCACGTCGGCCACCTCCACGGACACGGTGGCCGTGGTCCACAGCGAGGGCGAGCCCCCGTCCCTGGCTGTCACCACCACCTCGTAGTCAGAGGCGCTCTCCCGGTCCAGGGCGCTGTCCAGCACCAGGGAATAGTAGTTCTTGAAGGTGGACACCAGCTTGAAGGGGACGTGGGGTGTCAGCGAGCAGGTCACCTCCCCGTTAACACCCGAGTCGCGGTCGGACACCGCAATGAGGGCAATGATGGTGCTAAAGGGAGCGTCCTCTCTGATAGGCAAAGACCGAGAAGTGATCACTACTTCCGGTGTGTTGTCATTGACATCCAGCACTTTCACCAAAACTTTGCAGTGACTGGACATAGGAGGACTTCCTTTATCAACTGCCTTTATCTGAATTTCGTAGGATTTTGCTTCTTCATAATCCAAATTATCAATTAGTCTAATTTCTCCTGAGCTGGAATCAATTTTGAATTTTTCTTTAATGTTGGGAGACCCATCATTGCCAAAGGAAAAGACAATTTCACCATTTACACCTTTATCGGCATCTGAGGCATTTAACGTAGTCACTAATGTTCCATTTGCCACAGTCTCTAATAAGTGTACTCTGTACAGTGCCTGGGCAAACACTGGGGCATTATCATTAACATCAAGCACTAAGATCATCAGCTGAACTGTATCTTCCAGCTCTGGTTTGCCCCCGTCTGTGGCTGTCAATAATAAATGAAGTTCTGGTGTTGCTTCTCTATCCAAAGATTTCTTCAATTCAAGCGAAAGAGATTTACTTAGTTCATCACTTGCCTGTACATCCAAAGAGAAGTAATCATTGGGGCTGAGGTTGTAAATTAGAAGAGCATTAGCACCAGTGTCTGCATCAACAGCGCCCTCTATCGGAAAACGTGAACCCAGCTGCCTATTTTCAGGAATAAAAATTCGTTGCTGTCTACCTCTGAAGACCGGGGGATTATCGTTAATATCTTCTACTTTTACCTCCACGTGGAAAATCTGCAGCGGTCTGTCCACGATCACCTCCAGGTGGATGCTGCACTCCGCGCTCCGCCCACACAGCTCCTCCCGGTCGACCCGAGAATTCACAAACAAAATGCCATTCTGCAGATTTACCTCCAGAAGGTCCCCGCGCTCCTTGGACGCCACCCGGAACAGGCGCGGCACCAGCTCCGCCAGCTCCAGCCCCAGGTCCTGCGCGATGCGGCCCACGAAGGTGCCGTGTTTGGCCTCCTCGGGGACCGAGTAGTGGAGCTGGCCGCTCCCAGCCTCCCAGGCTGCGAAGTGGAGAAGCGAGAGCAGCAAGCGCCAAGCTGTCAGGCCTCCTGCCCTGGCAAACAGCATCGCAAAGACGCCACACCTTTCTACCTCTCTCGCTTTACTTCAAAATCATACTTATTTACTTCATACTTTCAAACATTTATCTCCTTACCATTTTAGTCTTCTCTTAGATTGTGACAAAATGGAGCTTCTTCCTTTAGTTTTTAGTGACCGGAACACCCTTTCCTTAAGACTTTGTGGTATACAGCGACATCATGTGGCTAATATGAATTTTAAGACCCCCCTCGCTGAATATTACAAATCATAGTTTATATCTTCATTTGCAATTTACTCAATGCCGGGATTTTCTGTTTATGACATTTAAGAATCCAGGACATTTCAAATCTCATTTTAAACTATGTCATTCAGTATTTTCCTTTCGCTATTATCAGAGTTATTATAACTGGATTTGAGAAAAATTGGGGTATGCTTAAATAGCTCCTTATTATATCCTTATATTTAAAATGATTTATCAGCTCACATAGTTTTATTATTAAATACTTATAACTGTATGCTAAAATTTTAAGATAATGCACTTTGACCATTAAAATTCACCTTATTGGAGGGCAGTATGGATATTCACTTTAAATATCTATATTTATAAATAGTTATTTAGTATTTATATATGACTTTTTAAGAAACTTTTTGTGAAATACACTTAAAGGTTCTTGAATGTTAGAAGAATGACATCATTTTTGATACTTTAAATGTTTGGGGTTTTTTTGTTTTTTGGTGTTTGTTTGTTTGTTTGTTTGTTTTGAGACAGGGTCTCACTGTGTAGTTGAGACTGACCTGGAACTCACTATGCAGCCCAGGCTGGTCTCGAACTCACAGCAATCCTCCTGCCTCAGCGCCCCCAAGTGCTGGGATTACAGGCGTGCACCACCATGCCTGGTTTAACCTCATAAATTTAACTTCCAAAAGTCATTATTCCAAACTGAATTCATGTCCCTTGGATCTTTACTTCTAGATCAAATTTCCAGCCCACATTTTTTTCTTTTTAAGGTCAAATATTATCATTCTCCAACAAAAATAATAATATAGACTCAATATCAAGTACACATACTGATAGTCTGCAATCAAAATGAAAAATGTAAATCTAATGCTAAGGTTGCTTTTTAGAAGATATTCAGAACAATCTATTAATATCTTCTCCTTCAGTTTCAGTAAAATTCACAATGGAAGTCCCATACTTACCCAAAGTTTATCTAAAAATATGTGGTCAGGATAAAATAGCACTCATATTTTAAAAGAATGAATTTAATGTTTCTACATTAAGCACTAAGAATGTTTAAAGATGTAAATACAAATAAATATTATTTAATCCTCATACTTTCATAATCAGAAACCCCAAATCCTGTTATTGATAATTAAAATATAAATAAAATATGGAACCATTTTATTTTTAAATGTCAGTTTATAATTTTTTCAGTTTATACATTTTAATAGTTCAATAGAACTACTTTATTATAAAAAGTCAGCAATATAAGATTCATGAATATGTTTTTTCAAAATTGAAGCAGTGTCAGAATCGCATATTTTCTAAACATGGCTAGATTTATGCCACAATGTCAACGTTTGAATATTCAAACGTTTAATTTTTTGCTGGGTGTGGTGGCACATGCCTGTAATCCCAGCACTAGGGAGGCTGAGGCAGGAGAATCACTGTGAGTTCCAGACTAACCTGGGCTACATAGTGAATTCCAGGTCAGTCTCAACTACACAGTGAGACCCTGTCTCAAAATAAACAAACAAAATAAAGTATTTTAATTTTTTCATAAAATTTAGGGCCTGAAAGCGAATGATATACTGGTCAATTTCCTGAAGTATTTTTGTTTGTTTGTTCTGCCTAATCTATTCCAGACTTCAAGTGGAAGAAGCCAGTAACCCAGAAAAACCATCAAATACAGATGAGTACATATTAATTTTGCACAGCAAAAGAAACCACCAACAGACTGAAGATACAACCACAGTGGAAAAAAATTTTGCCAGCTGCCTCAAAGAACTAATATCTAGACTATATAAAGTACTCCAAAAAAATCCAACCCTCCAGATTAAAAGACCCAATTTAAAAATAGGCATCTGGGCCAGGGATTTAGCTCAGTGGTTCTGCCACCTGCCTCACAAGCACAAGGACCCGAGTTCGATCCCTGGTACCAAAAAAATAAAAATAGGCATCTGAAATGAATAGACATTTCTACATGAAGTACAAACAGCAAATAAATATATTAAAAATGTTCAGCTGGGCATGGTGACACATGCCTGTAGTCCCAGCACTCGGGAGGCTGAGGCAGGCAGATCACTGTGAGTTTGAGACCAGCCTGGGCTACATAGTGAGTTCCAGGTCAGTCTCAACTACACAAAAAAAATGTTCAACATCATTGGTCATTTGAGAGATGCAAATTAAACCAACACTGAGATTCTGTCTCATTCCAGAAAAAAATGATTGTTATCAAAAAAATCAACCAATAAGGAGTGCTGGGAGGGGCTGGGAAGAAAAAGGAACCCTACTCCACCAGTGGGAGTGTAGACTGATGCAATGTTGAAATCAGTGTGGAGATTCTTCAAAAAACTAAAACTAGAATTCCATTTAACCCAGCTATTCCCTTTCTTGGAATGTCCCCAAAAGAATTAAAAGCATTGTACCACAGTGATACACAAGCACCACTGTTTGTAGCAGCACAATGTGTAATAGCTAAACACCCAATGTCCATCAGTAGATAAATAGATAAAGAATATGTGCAGTTTTTAAACAATGGAGTACTACTCTGCCATAAAGAAAGATAAACTTGAGACAGTTCTAAGTAAATGGATGCATCTTGCGACCATACTCTTAAGCAAAATAAATCAGACCCACACATTTAAATATAATAGTTTCTCTAGTGTGAGAAACTGAAAGGTAAATAGGACCAAAATGTATAATAGATACTGAGAAATAGGAAGAAAATGTTCAAATGGGAAGGCAAATATGGGAAGGGAAGAAAAAGAGAACAGAAGGAAGAAAGTTGAAACAACACTTTTGTAAGTAAGGAGGGGAAGAGGGGTTGAAGGTGGGGAGGGGATTAAGGAGAAAAGAAAAATCAAGATGTATTATTTACAGGTACAAATTCCCTATGATGAATGCTATCATTATGCATATCTAAAGTGTACCAATAAAGTTTAATTTTTAAGTAAAAAACCCACAGATGAATAAATTTAAAAAAAAACATGCTCTCCCTAGACACAAGCAAAGGAAAGGGGCAGCCTAGCAAGACAAAAAGCTTTCAGATAATTATTTAAACTAGGCAAACACCACAGGAAAAAACATGGCCCCACACTAGCAAAGCTTCTATGGGAAGCCTATATTTACACTCTTGCAAGGCACTCCCCTGCCATGGTTGTAGAGAAGGCCAAATATGGAGCTAAGACTTCCAGTACCACCACAAGGAGCACAACGTCCATGGTGTTCCAGAGATCATGTGAGTAGCCTAGACCACCACCCCTCCAAGCAGCAGCATAGTGCCCCCCAGCAGGGATGCTATCCGAGGAGGTCTAGTGGCAAGCTGAGACCTGTGACCACGTCATAAAATTGGCCATCCCCGCCGAAGTGCTAGTGAGGAACACATGGAGCTGTAACTCCCACTCCAGCTAGCAGGACCAAGGATGTCTATTATGAGCCAGTAGAGGCAATGCCCAACCTCTCTCTTAATACAGCAGTGTAGGGTGTAGACAGCAGAAACAGAAGGTCTAAGTAAGTTCAGCATCTCAAAACTTAATATAAAAATTTCCAAGTTTTAACAGCACAAAAAAAGAGAACTCATCATACCAACAATTAGGAAGATTACACACTGAATTTTTTAAATGTCTACAGTACCCAGATGTGGTGGTAAATCCCTATAATCCAGCACTTGGGAGCCTGACACAGGAGGTTTGCCTTGAGTCTAAGGCCAGCCTGGGCTACATAGTGAATTCAAGACCAGCCAGTATTGACAGCAAGATCCTGTCTCAAAAGACAAACAAACAGGGTCAAGGATTTAGCTCCATCGTTCCACTGCTGGCCTCAAAAGCGCAAGGTCCTGAGTTCGATCCCTGGTACCAAAAAACAAACAAATAAAATAAAATAAAATAAAATATCTACAGTAGTTCCCATTTGTCTGTAGTTTTATTTTCCATGGTTTCTGTTATTCATGGCAATTGCAATCTGAAATCATTAAACAAGAAGTCCCATAAAAAGACAATTCAGTTGTAGCCCCTGGCCCCGCGCTC